GGTTTTACAAAAATATTGTAGACATTTTTATACATGGTGTCCCAATCACAGCAGGTCAAAAGTAATTGGATAATTCACTGATAAGCAGTTTTGTGGTGAAACTAGGCTTTTTTTGCCCTCACTAGATAAAAGTTCTGGAGTACACTTTAATTATTCAACCTGCATTATGGTTGCGATTTACTATAACCTTCAATATGTTGTCCAGAGAGATGTAAGTGTAAGCAAAGGAGCTCGGGATTAGGCTGAAAATCCAAAATAAGCCCATCAGGAGGACAGCAAAAACTTTAGAAGTGGCCAAATCAACAATCCAGTATATTCTTCAAAAGAACGAATGTCCTGGCCAGCTCAGCAACATCAAAAGCCCTGAAAAACCACAGAATTCACAGTTGTACAGGGTTATACTCTCTGCTCAGTTTCAGCCAAATATTCCAATACCGATCAGAGGCACAAGTGCAAATTCTGTGTCACTGTCCAAAAACTAACTGAACTTTTACAAGGAAAGTAGTATGTCAGCGCTACACTAATAATGTATTATGTACTAATGTATTAGTTCATTAGACAGCTGTGTCATTCTGTGTTTTGTTTTTCTTCCTCCACCTACATGAGAGTGCAGCATTTCAAAGGAAATCAGAATAGGGGGCGTTGCAGTAAATATGCAGTCAGGTTCTTTGTGTCTTTGTGTGAACTGCAGCATGTGGTGATAAAGTAAAAAACCCTCAAATCCACTGATACGTTTAAAAAAAAAAAAAACATAAAAAATGCTGAACTCCAAAATACTTTGTCCCGTTCACTTAGCTCCACCCAAGCATCAAGGCTTGTCAGAGGCTAAGTTTCCAAGGATTTCTGTTGCGTAACAGTGTGAAAGGTATAAAAATGTCACAGGTTGAATGGAATCTGTGGAGATACAGCCAAGATGAAGTTTCTGGTGCTTGCTCTGTTTGTCGCAGGAGGTAAGGAGCTTTTCAAACACTGCACACAAAAATCTCTTTTTGCAGCTGTCTCTTCAGTTGGTAATATTCTACAAAATTTCACGCAGGTAAACAATGCGCATTTTTTAAAAATCTTTGTCTCATATGTCCCCTCAGCCTACGGGTGTGGGCTGCCTACCATCCCCCCTGTAATATCTCGGGTGGTTGGAGGACATGATGTCAAGCCTCACAGCTGGCCCTGGCAGGTAAAAACTCAAAACTTTATTCAGAAAAATCTGAATATCATCAACATAAAATGTATTCTGTTAAAGATAGGCAGACTTTATTTACTGCTAGACTGGTAAAGACTGGTATGAAAAGTTTTTGAGGCAATTTTAAGGATTATTGGAGGATCTTTAAAAAAACGTTTACAGTGGTTACAGTACAGTAAATTAAAAGACATAGGAGGATAGGGTTTTTAAAAAACTGAAATGCTGCTACAGTTTGGGTGATTTTAGATTATCCAGAGAAATGACCAAGTAACAACAAACACTTTGCAAACTCCCACAAGGGCGAACAGACTGCAACCAGCGTAACAAGCAGCACTCTCATAAAGCACAAAATCAAGCTCAAACATAGCAAAGAGGTAATTCACTGTACTCTTATGTATGTTTTAGGTTTCCCTGCAGTACAACAGCGCGGGTAACTGGAGACACACCTGTGGAGGCACTCTGATCTCTGACCAGTGGGTCCTCACTGCTGCACACTGTATCAGGTATAAGAACCAAGGGTTTTAATCATGCACGGAATTACTAACAATCACAGAAACAAATCTTTTGCTTACACGTATCAGCATTATAATCTGCTCTGTCACCTTGCAGCTCCAGCAGGGAGTACAGAGTGGCACTGGGAAAGCACAACCTGTTAGAGACAGAGGATGGCTCTGTGCTCGTCGGCACCTCTAACATCATTGTGCATGAGGACTGGAACTCCTTTTTTATTCGGTAACATTTCACCGCTACTACTAAGAATTTACCTGTGAGACTTGAATATCAAAAAGATCATGTGCGTTATGTGCATTTCTAATTGTGGGCTGAGTATTTGGTCAAATACAATGTTTAATCATTTCTTGCCCAGTAATGACATCGCCCTGATCAAGCTCGAGTCCTCCGTTAACTTCTCTGATACCGTCATGGCTTCTTGTCTTCCCGAGGCCGAATTTGTGCTCCCCAATAATGAATCCTGCTACATCACTGGGTGGGGTCGCCTGTTCAGTGAGTGCCCTTTTTTTTTAAGAGAAGCTTTCTTTAATTCTATCCATCCCTTCAAAGCTTCTCAAATAATCATTACCTGACACAACTTGTTATGTAAACTGTCTCTTTCTCTTTTTTTCCCCCTTGAAGGGAAGACTATACGGATGTTTTTGATAAGTTGATTTTTCTTAGTCAGTTCCTAGTATACAGCATCATCTTAGCATGTTTTTACTTTTTAAATGAAATCTATACACACATACTTTTACTAACTAACATGATGCATTTTTGGTTGTTTAGTGCTTCGTTTTTCTGGAATAAAGAATCATATTTCTGTTATTAATTTGAATAGCACAGTGGGGAATGGAAGTAAGGGCATACTTGGTGTCTTAACCACTAGGTCACCAGGGAACCCAGTCAAAGAAGAGTCAAAAATCCTTTCAGGATCATTCTGCAGACTAATCCATTATAACTATTTTACAATTAAACAGGGATGAGCAATTAATTTTTTACAAGGGGCCACATGAAAAACTGGAACTGTTGTGGAGGGCCCCGACAATAAGCTTATAAAGAAATAAAAAACAGTATTAAATAGAACTGAGTTCCACCCTTTGGCCCCTGGATTCTTTTGTTTGAGATTTTTGTCTGAGATGAACTACGTCTTTGTTGTCCACACAGCCGGTGGTCCCATTGCTGACATCCTGCAGCAGGCTCTCCTGCCAGTGGTGGACTACCCAACCTGCAGTAAGCCTGACTGGTGGGGTTCTCAGGTGAAGGAAACCATGGTCTGTGCGGGTGGAGACGGAGTTGTGGCTGGCTGCAATGTGAGTATAAAATAATGATTTTCTAATCGCATAAAGTAACACTGTAAGAGTCACACTTTCACACACCAGCTAACTTCAGTGAAACTCAACTTTCCTAAAAGTTCAGAGTGTGCCACACAGACTGTGGAATTAACTCAGTCACACGTTTCCACATGCTGTGAAGGAAGGGACACATGTTTTTTGTATTTATTCTTCCATCCAATTGTCTCACTTGGCACAGCATTTAGCCACAAATAAAAGCTAGTGACTAGCAAGTGCAACTCTCATTCATTTTTAAGCAAAGCTATCATATTTACCAGTCAAAGAATCTCAAATATGAATACAGGCCATTTTGCCTTTGCATTAAAATGAATTAACTGTGGGTTCTGCAAAAGCCAGCGACACAAAACAAGGTGTTATTATAAAGTTATTACTTTTTTATTAATTTTAAGGAAAAGAAAATTAGATCAATGTTCGAAAATTGTATTATATTATTCCCAGTGATGTCACAACCATCTCTACTAAGCTGCATTTTTGTGAGCGACATAAAATGTAAAAGAATCTCTGTAATGTGTGATAAGCAATCAGAAAATTGTGGGCACGTCTAAGAAATAACTGCTGAATGTGGAATTCGCACACTGATCACACTGATTCTCCCACCTGACTCAGGGAGACTCTGGCGGTCCTCTGAACTGTATGAACGCTGCTGGAGTCTGGGAGGTTCACGGTATTGTCAGCTTTGGCTCTGGGCTCAGCTGCAACTACCCCAAGAAGCCCACTGTCTTTACCCGAGTCAGCTCTTACATCGACTGGATCAGCTCTGTAAGTGTCCATACGTTTGTGCATCATTTCAATGCTGCTAATACCATTATTTTACTTTAAGTCTAACATTTCTCTATTATCTCTTTCACAGAAAATGGTGACCTATTGAGAGAACAGCTTTGTGGGATGAAAACCACTTTGTGCAAATTCTGAAATAAAGAATATATATCAAACAATTTTGTTTTGAAAAGTTGCATAATTTTTTGTTCTACCATCTCTGCTTTATTGTAATTTTAGCAGTTTTCTAAAAATAGAAATAGCAATAAAGTATAACAGAACCTTGCTGAAGGAGTCTGCATATTCTATTTGTTTTATTCTGAAAAATACTTCAGCTATTATGTTTGATCAGTGATACTTGGATAGTAAAATAGTTTCCACTTTTCAGTGTCCTAGAACACTGATGGGAACTTCTTATCAACAACCACTTGTCCTGTACTCAAGTTTCCAGTATTTGTTTGACTTTCTGCATTGCTGACCCAGTTTCCTAGGAAACAAGAGGGAAGTTGCATGCATACAGTCTGAGTGCAAGACCGTTTTAAGCACAAGACAAAGTATACACAACAGTTGATTCTGTTCATCTGGATGTAGTGTTTTCAGTGGGAGAAACGTTTCGTCGCTCATCCAAATGACTTCTTCAGTCTGAGCTGACTGCAGGTTTTGATATTAATGATCAAGGAACTGACCTCCCAGCCCAGTTCCTTCAGTGCTGCTAGTTTCTGTCATTATGCAAATATGCTGTTTATAAGATTGGATAAACCTGCGGTCAGCTGAGACTGAAGAAGTTTTGTCATCACTTGGATGGACCCTACAGATCTCTGTAACGTGAAGCAGGCAGCTAATTATTAATCTCCCAGGTCATTCATGATCACACATAAACAAAATAAACATTGTGTCATGGCACAGGCTGGACTGAGATGTTTAATAATTAATCAAGACCCAGAACTATAAAAAGTCAGAACATGAGTCATGTCTTAAACTGCCCTCATATTCAAACACCCTTTCTATGAGTGTATTTACTGAAAATAATCAGTACCAGGAAACAAAGCTAACCCTATCACTCTCAGTCGAGTGCTGTGGTTTCCGACCTCTGCTTGAGGTGGTTGGTGGCAGAGAGGTAAGAATATGTTCACCCTCACAGCCTCACAGAGAACAGCATGACTTATACATGTTATTCATTTATTACTACAGGTATAAAATATGATGCCTTACCTAAGCTCTCACTCCAGCCAGACAGTAGTGGACACTTTAGCCAAATCCATGGAGGGGACTCTCATGTCCCCTCTCTTGTTCCTTTGGACAGCACACTGCAAGTTCAAATCAAAATCAGATGAACGCTGGCTGTGTAACTAAAACTACAATAAAACACGTTTTTTTTTAAAAGCTCTCAAGCATAAAGTGCAAAATGTGGGTGTATTTATTATGGAAAATATGTTTATTAGGTGTTTCAATAAACAAATCGTTAAATTATCTATCTGTGGCAGCTTTAACTGTTCAGCATGGGCTTTTAGCACTGATTTATGAGCCAAATTAAAGTACTGTGCCAGTGCCAGTACTCCACCATGAACAAAATACGACAAGTTTAGATTTTTCTGTTAGTAGTCAGGACCTCTGAGCACATTAACAGGATAGCTTCTCTAGCATCGGCAAGGATATCTGTCACCAGCAGCATGCAGTAAAGTCTGAACTTCACAAAAAAGAGAATATGTAGTCAGAAAATAGCTTACTAAAAGGACGACATCTCAAAGATATAAGCTTGAGAGCCAATTAAAATTGTTTAGCCACCCAAACAACCATGCATTAACCCCACGCAAGTGCAGTCACCATCAGTTTAATTGCAGTTTTCTCTTTTCTTAAAAACATATTAACCCCCAAATATTTCATACTCAATTAAAACTATCAGCACAAAGGCAAAGGAAGAAGTGCAGTGACTTATGTCCCCATATGTCTATGTGCTGTGCTAAAAAGATATGAAGTTAGAAGGCTGAGCAGTTCGGCCTTGTGCCACAAGGTGGGGTAGCAAGCCAGTGTGGCAAGCAGCCTGCCCTGAGTCCAAACTGGAAGACATGCCAGTGCATCTGGAAAGCAGCCATCATCGCCACCAACACAAACCCCCAGAAAGAAACTGCACTCTGCTGTAAAGAAAAGAAACGATAAGACAGAAGTAAAACAGCAGCAAACACAGCCTAATTGTCTAATTGTTGATTCAATGACTCTAGGACTATCCACTTGCCACGAAGCTCATTATGTGGCACAGCTACAATTGATTTAGAAGTACCATTTAACCTAACAAAAGAAACAAGCTCCAGCCGAAAAAGAAAATTTGAACCCAGGACCATTTTGCACTAAAGTGATAATGCTAGCAATTTCAACAACCTGGATCTCAGCTCAAATAAAGCATGTTTTTAATGTTTTTTACAACTAGACTGCACATCCAAAATAATAAGAATAATAAAAATATTAATAATAATACACTAAAATGTTCTGGTTAATCACTGCCACCTGATAGTGAACATTTTAGTTACATTTTGCAAAGTGTGATCACAAAAAGCACCTTTAAAAGAAGACTACTTATGACTTAGAAATCCAGCATGTGCTTTGTGGGGTGTTGTTTATGAAAGACGGGCATGCTTGATTTGTTATAAGTAAAGGTTTTTGCATATCATTGTGATTGTACCTACTCTAGCACAAATTGTGATATCTGAATGAAAGGGTTGCTTGCATTGCTCTTATCAGTCAAAAACATAGAAGCCCCCTCAGACAAAGCCTTGATTCTTGACTCTTGAGTTAACCTTGTTCTCCCTGCAGCTGCAGGCTCTCCATGCTGTGGTGAACTTCGGCTCTGGCGAGGGCTACAGTGTCTTTTAGAAGCCAGCTCCTTTTAGCCAAGTGAGCTCATGAGCTCATCAACAACATGATGAACAGCTTCCTATTGTGATTACTTTACACACATTAACAATGCGACACTGAGCTGACAAAAGCACTGCCTCACAAATCCAGGAAGGGTGTTTCATTCTAAACTAAACTCACGAGTACTCTTGATTAGGTTTGGCAGTATTAAGAAGGACTTTGATTTCTGATGTGGTTTTTGTCAGTAAAATTAAACCATTGTGTGTCAGAATAAATGTCAAATATATAATCGTGTCCTTGAAATTTGGCAACATAATTACACCTTGCTAGTGCCAGTTTGGACCTCCTTTCGCCTTCAGAACTTCCATTATTCTTCGTGGCATAGATTCAACAAGGTGCTGGAAACATTCCTCAGAGACCTTGGTCCATATTTAGCATGATAGTGTCACAGTGCTGCAGATTTGTTGGCTACACATCCATGAGATGAATCTGTCATTCCACCGCATGTCAAAGGTACTATATCTGGTGTCTGTGGATGATGTGGAGATGCTCTCTGAATACTCTGTTCCCTCTCTATAAGCTTGAAGCAGTCTGGCCATTCTCCTCTGACCTCGATGCCGCTCACTGGATATTTTCTCTCTTTCAGACAATTCTCGGTAAACCTCAGAGATTACTCTGTGGGAAAATTCCAGTAGATCAGCAGTTTCTGAAATACTCGGACCAGCCCATCTGGCACCAGCAGCCATGCCACGTTCAAGTCACTTAAATCAAGTTTCTTTCCCATTCTGATGTTCCGTTTGAACTCCAGCAGGTTGTCTTGACTACGTCTACATATCAAATGCACAACTGCTACCATGCCACTGGCTGATTAAATATATGTACGAACAAGCAAATGATGTGTATGCAGTGCCGTGAGTGTATAAGTTAAGTATAAGGGAGAAAATAGGAATTTTATGTATTCAACAGATTATGTCAGTCAGCATAAATGCACAAAGATATAGTTACAGAACACCAATTAACAAACAATTATTTATTCATTTTTTTATAAAATATTAATGTGATAAATTTGTTCAGTCTTCAGAAAAAACTCGTTATCAAAAAAACTAAACAAAAGCAAAAAAAAAAAAATACAAATTATCATAGAAATGCATGGTTTCACAGTGTATCTACAATAAAAAAAACACAAAAACAAAAACAATCAAGCAATAAAAAAAAAAAAAAAAGAAAAAAATGCAATAAATGAAACTGACAACATTTTTTTTCCAGGAACTCATCTATATACAAGTATAAAAATCAGTTATGTAGTTAATTGGTCATTAGCAAATGAGGTACAATGTTCATGTCTGCAGCACAGAAGGTGGGTTAAAAAAAAAAAAAAAAAAAAAAAAAAAAAAAAAAAAAAAAAAAACTGTAGATGAATTGCAATAACTGATCTCTAGTGACATGATAACTGTGCAGTATACTGTATAGTCAGTTGGTATCCTTATGCATTTATCAGAAACAATATAAAACTGGATAATGAAGAGTCTAATTGAAAATGTCACTTTCCTTACAAAAAAAAAAGTGAGCTGTGCAACTTCACAATATTAGTAACACTTAATGCAATTAATAAGTCATACAATTAAGCTTCAGCTGTCTGTCACGAAGAAGAAATCAAAGTGTTTATACAGCTGCTGACCAAACCATTCCCAACGCATCGGCGTGTCTTCTATTTCGGCACTTTTGCTGCACACTTTTAAGCGAAGGCAAGTATACGAGTCGAGCTGCAATCAGCAAACAAGTGAGAATAGCTGGTGTTATGTTGGCACAGCTGCACACAGTCACAGAGTCTTTCTGTTTCCGTGTAGAACGCAAACAAAAACAAGCCCAGAGAAGCAGACTACACAGCTGCCTTCACAACTCGCCGTTCACCATGGCTACAGGCAAAAGCTCTCAACTATTCACATGTTCCATCAGTTTGCCTCAAACACTCCCTACTGTGTTTGCTGTTAGAGCATTGCAACGCTACGTTAAAAGAGCAACACTAGAGCTGAATCGAGTTCAACCAATGTGAATGAGATGTTTTAGGAAGTGCTTTTCTGAGTAGAAGGTGTTTAAACTGCACTTTACTGCATACAGCTGAAGGGCAAACTTGCAATTAGCTGCCGCTGTCAAAAGACTCCATAAAACGAGAAACTTTGAGTTTCCCGGAAAATTTCTTCTTCCTAGAAAGTCTCTTCTCTTGAACCATCATGACTTTAATGCCGGCAAATCCTGCTGCTTTAGTGTAAACATGAGTTTTAACGATTACGACCTCCCAAGGGTTAAATTGGACCAGGGCCTTGTGCTCTTCCCCGTCACCAGACATCCTCCCATCCTCATCCTCTTCCTAAAACACATTTGGCCAGTTTACGCCTGAAACACCCATGGCTGTACCTTAGCAAACAGTTTAGTCCAACCTGTATGCCAGCTGCACTGTACATGACTGGTTACGCTTGAGAAGTTGTTAGACAAGCACATTTTTTTATTTAGTTATTTTTTAAATGGTTCCTCTTCTCATCAAAATTCTTATTAATACAGTTCAATAACTCAGTAAATGATACTAAAATCCAGCAATGCACTGATTTTGGACTATTTCACAGTTGGTAAAAGAAAAAAGCAAAGAACAACCAACCTGGATAACTTAAAAAGTCAAACAGTATCCTTCAGCAAGCCTGTTTCACCTGCCTTGGGTGAAGCAAACCTGCAGAGAGTTTCTTTCAAAAGAGCCTTTCAAAAGAGAAAACTAGAATTTCTATTTTGGGGGAAATAAACATACTACCATGGAACCATAACCAAAGATTCAACAAGGGATGCTTGAAATGCAGCAGACAGACGCTAATAAAGCTTGGTTTCATGTTGGTTCAGTAGCAAAGCTTCCGAATGAGTATCGTTGAGTAGAAAATGTGTAAAGAAACCCTCAGTACCAGGTTTCAGCTTTTTGAGGCAGAGACATAAAAGAAACCCTCCAAATCAAAGTCCAGTAAAACAGAAGCCATCATTACAAATGTAGAGAGACTGGATCTACAAAGCTCTGCAGACCCTCGCACACGCCAATTAAGACGCATCAAAATTCATTTGATCCTAACCTCGAGAGGGCCGGGGGTGGGAGTAATACTATTGATAATGAGGGAGAGTTTCTGTGCAGCCTGATAGAGGTCAAGCCACCAAAGTGCATACAATACTCAGGCGCTGTGGAGCTTACAATTGGTAAACTACAGGCGGTGCTAATCCTAAGGATTCCAAGTCCTAAATGGTAGCTATATCTATTCAAATTCTCAAAACTTCACCCCACCCCCTCTCTGTGTCTTAGGCTCTCTTTCACCATCAACTCACCCATACAGTCAGTGTACAGTGGAGGCCAGTAACAAAGGTAATTTATTAACAGAAACCTACAATAATATTAAAAAAAAACAAAAAAAACAAAACATGCATGTGCAGTTTCCTCAATCCAATGTGCCACAGTCTGATAAAGATGTGTCACAGTAAGCGAGGATGCAACAAGTATGTCCTTTACTGCCTATATCCACTTCAGAGATCCAAAGTTTTCTTCCGTTCAGTGCTTTGGATTTCTTTGGCATGATGATTACTGTTGAACAGAGACTGTATTTTAATGCCACTGGCCGCATTCTTCAACAAGCCATATTCCAGGTCTTGGCTTGCAAAGGCTGATCAAAATCCACAGAAGATGATC